GTCTGGGATGGCTCTGGAGTCTGCAGATTAGCAGTGCCCAAGGCTTCAGGTGGGGGGGACCTGCTGCCCATGCTTGGACGGCCTCCCCTCCCAGGCTTGCTAGGTACAAAGAAGGGCAAGATCCTTCTCAGTTATTCCACTGTTAGGTAGCAGCCAGCATGCTCTGTTCACTTTATCTTGGGACCCAGGAAGGTTCTGGACGGAGAGTGGCTCCCACAGAGATGGATCCAGTGGAAGCAGCCTGAAGTGGCACCGTTTGGGAAGTTGTCTTTAAGAAAAATAATGTTCTGTTGGGCATGCAGCTAAGAAGGGCTTCCAACAAGTGGTGTTAGCCCCACTTTCAATCCACCTTTGGCAGCCACTAGTTCATGGTCTTATAGGTCCTAGAGGTGAGAAGCTGTGCAAGAAAGATCAAGAAAGACAAGAAAGAGCCTTCTCCAGCTCACTCTGCTTCAGCAACAGTAGCTACGGGGATGCTGAGCTGGCCCATATCACAATCACCTGAGGGAATGGAAAAAACCAAGACCAAAACAACCATGCAACTACACCAGACATGCTGAGAAAATTGGTCTAGGTGGGGTTTGAGCTGCAGTTTTTTTTTCCTTTTTTTTTTGGTACTGGGGATTGAACCCAGGGCCACTTAACCACTGAGCCACATCCCCAGCCCTTTTTTATATCTTATATAGAGATGGGGTCTCACTGAGTTGCTGAGGCTGGCTTTGAATGTTCCATCCTCCTGCCTCAGCCTCCTGAGCTGCTGGGATTACAGGTGTGCACCACCTCACCCTGCTGAGCTGCAGTATTTTTTTTTAAATACCCAGGCAATTCTGATTCATAGCTAAAGCAGAGAATCTCCCAGGAGAGGTTTGACTCTTATTCTTTTGCTCCAGACTCATACTAAAAGAGGGCCAGGTGACAGTCCCTCCCTCAGAAGGGGCCATGACTCCTGGCTGTGGCCAGTGTTATCAATGCCTACTGTGTACCTGGCCCACCCATGGCACCCCTTCCATCTTGGGGACAAATCAGTCACTAATAGTGGGCAGTTATTAAGCATCATGCCATCTGTGTGAGCCTCAGGGTGTCATGACATTCCAGCAGAGAGAAATGGAAGTCTGGGGCATTAGCGGTGGCCTTACAGTGGTCCAGTGGATAAGCACTGAAGCCCGGGTTAGATTCAGGTCTTCAGGGCTCCAAAGACAATATGAACTTCCCTGAGCCCGGCCGCCCTAAGAAGCAATGCCTGTGTAGTAACCATCAGCCATGCTCAGGGACCAGGCCCAGGCCCACTCACCCCTCAGGTATAGCAGGCATAGTGCCAAAGCCAGTGGCACCTTTAAGGGGTTATGAAATATTTTAATTTTCTCTAAAATCAAAAGAAACAAAGTGAATTATAATAAATGTGTAACAATAAATCCAGCCTGGATGATATTTGTCTTTACATCTATACACTTATAGAATGTGTTTTGTTGTTATATTTTTCTTTCATACCAGGGATTGAACCTAGGGGTGCTTAGCCACTGAGCCACATCCCCAGCCCTTTTTATTTTTTACTTAGAGATAGGGTCTCACTAAGTTGCTGAGGCTGCCTTGAATTTGTGATCCTCCTGCCTCAGCCTCCTGAATCACTGGGATTAGAGGTGAGCACCATTGCACCTGTACACAGTGCTCTGCTTAGCCCTGGAAACACTGGTGACTGTCCCCAGATGATTTGTGTTTGTGGAATGAAGGTTAAAATAAAGTTTATGCCACTGCTTCTGATGCCTGGCTCTGGGAAGGAAACGGGAGCCAACAGGCTGTCCCCGTCTGGCTCGGAAGGGAAGATGTACACACAGGAAACTGAGAGCAGGACAAGACAGGACGCAGCCCCCACTGTCGTCAGCTTGCACTTCTCTCTCTTCTTGTTTTTGTCTTTTCACTTGTCACTCAGTCATGTCCTGCTTTGCAGGTAACTGTTTCATGTATCGAATTCTTCAATCAACAATTCTTTTGTTGATTTCTTCCTCTCTTCAACAAGTGTTTACTATTTTAGTCTTGTATTTATTATTTTTAAATATTTGATTTGCTTTTGAAGAGGTCATTCAGCCCATGGTGCAAAAAAAAAAACTCAGAAGATAGGGCTGGGGCTATGGCTCGGTCCGTGGAGTGCTTGCCTCACACGCGCAAGGCCTGGGTTCAATCCCCAGCACAACAACAAACCCCAAACTCAGGAGGTACTACAGGACATACACCCTGAAGACTGGGGACAGGAGGAGGGGAGGGTGTCTTTGGTCCTGAACCATTATACTGTTTAGATTTTGTCCTAAGTGCAAGTATTACTGACTTAATAGAATAAACTAAAACAAGCAAGCAAGTAGACAAATGGCTGTGGGTTGAAAAGTTAGTTCACTCGCCTTCCAGCCCCCTTGGGCCCCACTCCAGAGACAGTCGTCTTTATCAGCGTATTGTATATGTTTCCGAAGACATTGTGTGCATCTATAAGCACATGCACTTTTTAAAAAATGTATGCAAATTGTTCCTATTGTTGTTAGTCACTTAATATCTTGATTTTCTTTTCTTTCTTTTTTTTTTTTTTTGTACTGGAGATTGAACTCAGGGAGATTTTACCACTGAGCTACATCCCCGGTCCTTTTTGTTTTATTTTGAGACAGAGTCTCTAAGTTGCTCAGGATGTCCCGCCTCAGCCTCAAGAGCTGTGAGGGTTACAGTGTGCACCACCACACCCAGCTAACCTGTTGATCTTTTCCTAGAGAACTGCTCTTCTTTCTCAACAGCTGCATGTTATACCACAAATTATTTAGCTAGAATTTATATTGATTAAGTTAAGATTGCTTCCAATCTCTTTCATTTTTTAAAAATAAAGTAACCTTATGGAACATAACACTCCACTCAGTTGTGATATATAAAACCATATGTTTATGCGGGGAGCAGTGGTGCAATCTCAGCGACTCAGGAGGCTGAGGCAGGAGAATCCCAAGTTCAAAGCCAGCCTGAGCAACTTAGTAAGACCCTGTCTCTAAATAAAGTATAAACAAGGGCTGGGGATGTGCCTCCCTAGTTAAGTACCCCTGGGTTCAATCCATGTTGCCAAAACCAAACAAACAACCCCCCTCCAAAAAAAAAAAAAAAACATGCAAGTTCTATTTCGCTCATGTGCAAACACATCTCTATGGTATGTCTGTCGACCACTATAATCCCAACCACAGGGTCAACCACTGTGGGGAAGCTGCTCCAGCTTCCTCTGGGTAGTCAATTTGGCCAAATCTATGAAAAATTTGCAATCTGTCTCCATTTCCCCTAAATTTCTGGAGTACCTCCTGGTCCTGGGTAGGGGTACAAAGACAAGGAGGACTCAGATTTTTCTCGTGGGGGTGTCTCCGATGTGGACAAGTCATTTCTAGCCTGGGGAAGAAGGGATATACCAAGGCCAGGGCAGGGCAAGGAAGGTAGCCTCAGGCCAGTCACTGAGGGAGGSAGGGAGAGAGAAAAAAAGATTTGTTCAGAGGAAAAGGAGGAAGGACATTCCAGGCAGATGGAGCAGCATGTGCAAAGTCTGGGGTGTCAGAGAACAGGATACGGGTGGGGTGTTCTGGGGTGTTCTGAGAGCGGGCATTCTCTTTTTCAAGATCTAGGCAGTGAGAAGGGGGAAGTGGAAGGTGACAGGTGACAGGCACCTAATAGGGCTAGAAGGCCCCTCTTGAACCTATTAAGGGTCCATTGACAAGGGTCTGGCAGCCTCAAGGTCATAGGAATGCTAGAAGGCTCTCTTCAGCCATGGTGTGGAGGATGAATGCAGATGTTCCCCAAATAATTTCCTAGATCCTGATGACAAGGATCCCCACACTAGGGGTCTTTGGTCCGCAGGAAGTGCCTAGTGGAAACGCTTTGTTGAATTATAGCCAAGCACCTAAATCCAACTTATGCCTGGCCTTGTTTCTCAAATGTTCCTGCATTTCCCTGAAGTTTGGGGGAAACACCTCCTCCAGGGGGGCCTGGAGTCAGGTCTGAGGTCAGGGTAGGATCATGATCTGTTGCTACTCACAGCCAGTGACACTTTGAACAGTCTCCCATCTCTGTTCAGAAACTCCAAGGACTTCTGCATTCTCTTCCCTAATATATCTGAGTCAGCTTTAATATTGAACATGAAACATATTCTTTACCCTTTGGTAGGTGCTTATTCATTGGCTTGCTGAGTTGCTGAGTCCTAAGTGTGTCAGAATTTGACTCATTCAACCCTCACCTTGGCCAAGTCAGCCCATTTTACAGATGAGGAAACAGAGTGTCCCAGAGGTTAAGTAGTTTGCAGGGTTGTCATTAATTTAGTGGTTCATCTTGGAAATGGCTTGGTAATGACTGACTCCACGCTCATTTCACTAATAATAGCTACCATTTATTGAACACTTATCAGGTGCCAGACACTGGGCATTTTGAACTTCAAAAACAACCTTCTAAGATCATGACCAGTGAAGACTCAGAAAACACATCTCCAGTGTATCACCTGGGACCAATACTAGTGTCCCTACTGTGGATTGCTGCAGGAGGTGAAGGAAGTCACCCAAGGTCACACAGCTAAGAGTTAGACAACAGTTTTGCAGCCCAGTTCTGCTGGATCCTGTGGCCCAAGTTCTCAACCATGACCTTGTACTGCCCATGACTGTATAGGTTGCCTTGGTGGCTAAAGCAACACCAGCGACCTGTTCAGAGGGCCATGGTGAGGTCCCCATAATTTAGAGACAGGACCAGGAAAAATCATCCTGTCTGAGAAAAAGTAGTAAAAGGCAAGCAAATAAGAAAACATAAAAGAGGGTGAAGTTAGGAACTGGTTAGACCAGTGTTCCCATGTCTAACCATGTCTACTGCTGAGCCCCACATGATTTCAGGTGATGCACAGGTAAATAGACTTATCTATTTAATACATAAACAGATTTACATATGTACTTATTTCTTCTTCTTTTATTTATCTATCTATCTATCTATCTATCTATTTATTTATTTATTTATGTCAGGGGAAAGCACAAATGCAGCCCCCTACTACCGCAAATTTTAGGTAGTTGAGTTTCCTGACTATGGATAAACCACAGGGATCAGCACAGCCTTGAAGTGCACTGGCACAGTCTTGCCCTAGAGAGCCAGCTGCTGCTGCTGCTGCTGCTCCTCCTCCTCCTTCTTCTTTCTTGTTCTTATTTTGGTACCTGGGACTGAATCTAGGGGCACTTAACCACTTAGCCACATTGCCAGCCCTTTTTTATATTTTATTTAGAAACAGTGTCTCGCTGAGTTGCTTAGGGCCTTGCTAAGTTGCTGAGGCTGGCTTTGAACATATGATCCCCCTGCCCTAGCCTTCCAAGTGCTGGGATTATGAGAGCCAGCTTCTTGATCATGGTATCTCCCCTGCCAGGTAAGTATGACATATTTATTTTAAAATTAGAAACATAATTGGAACATTTATACCTTTGTGGATATTAGAGTTTAGGACTAGGCTAAACAAAAGTTGTGAATCGATTTAAAAGATTTAAATAAATGTCAATATATGGTTTATTTTTGACCTTGGCACTTTTATCTTCCACTACACTATCCACCCTGCCCATTTTGTTCTGGTCTGTTTCTCTTCCCATTAGACTTTTTTAGCTTAGGAATTGTGTTTTGCTTCCTATAGGTTCCCTTCCTATAGAAGAGGGCTGGGTACACAGAAGGAGCTCAATAATTGAATGAACACAAATTTTAATTAATGTGACTGTGCATTTTTTAAAGGAAAGAGGGTCCATAGCATTTATTAGAGTTTCGGAATTATTGTCAACCACTGCCCAAGGGTACCCCAAGTGTCCCTTTTAGGGTCATAGTGACCTATAGATTTGCCTTCCAAAGGGGTGAACACTGCCACTTAGCCAGTTAGCCCTATGGTTGTCTATAAAATTTGAGCCTAGAGCTGAATTAACAGGTGGGACCCTGCTTATCCATCAGTCTTCTGTGAAGTGGGTTATGATGAGTCAGTTTCCTTGTCCATTCATATATGATCATGGTGAGGGATGACCCTGGCTTTTTTTGTGATGTCTCTGTAAGCAGTGGCCCCTAGATCCTGCCCTCTTCCCACAACCCACAAGCAAGCTCTGCCTTGCACAATTTCTGCTCTTTCATGCCCTTCCAGCTAGTGTAGAAACTTCCCAAGGGCAAAAATCCAGTTTTCTTTTCTAGGTCTGAGTGTTAAGATGTGCACTTACCTGAAGAGCCCTGGGTTCAAGTCTCAACTCTGTTACTTACTGGCTATGTGATCAGAAACAAATCACTTCTGTGTTTTCTCTAAACAAACAAACAAACAAAAAAGAGTCCAGGAAGAATGAGACTTCACTGTGTTATTTGGGAGGACTGGGGGAGGCAGTGCCTATAGATGCTTGGCACAGGGAGACGCATGGAGCTCCATGAAGTGAGGGAATTTCGACTGACTTCTCCACAGGTACTTAACGGAGTATCCATTATGTGACAGGTGTAGTGCTAGGGACCCTGAAAATAGCCGGTGCTCTCTTGTGTGAGTTAGCCTCTTCAGTGGCACAGCTAGAATGACATCAAGTGGCCTGTTTCTGACTCCCCTCCCTACACACTGCTGTGGTGAGCTGTAACTGCAGCATTGCCATCTTTGCCCTAGTGGGGCTTACTTTCCAGAGGAGGGGGGAACAGATCATGAAGTGTATGGTTATGAGCTGTGGGACATGCTCTAGGGTACTTTTTATGCACGGAGTACTTTGAAGACCGAGTGGGGAGGATTCAAACAGAGGGTTCAGTTACTTCTTAGTGAGTTACTTTGTGAGTAAACTGGCTGCAGAGCCCTGAGGATGCGCAGCTGGGACCCTACCCTGCTCCTATCCTCTCCTTTCCTTATGTCCCCAGGGAATTGGAGCTTTTTTCTCTAGAGTAAGAGTGGAGGGTGGTAGGTGTGTTAGGCTGTAGCCCTGTGGCCTGCCCTGCTGGGCCCAGCTGCACACACCCTCTAGTGGCCACAATGCAAGCCAGTCACCAGGCTGCGTGAAATCCAAGGACAGTGGGACTGTCACTGACCTTCCCTTCCTGACACTGTGTCCATTCAGATGCAGTTTTCCTGTAATGAAGGCCCATTCTGGGTCCTCTCTCATTTAATTCTGGCAGCCATYTCTAGCATGATTCCCACTCCTAATGTACAGAGGTGAACCCCAAGGCTTATAGAGTTAAGGGAGGTATTGAGGGTGGGCACTGAACTCAGGCCGACCAGACTTTGCTTTCAGTGCTTTTCAAGTAGCATCTTTCTCTACCCCATCCACAATGCCACATCTCCCAGTGGCAAAAACTAAGGCTAAATTTTGCTAAGTTAGTGCCCAGAAACGAAGGTGGTCCTCCCAGGCAGGCCACTGCTTCAGTGTCTCCTGGGCTGGAGGCTGTGGAAACACAGGCACAAACATTTCTCAGAATGCTCCCCAGGAGTTCTGCAGGAAGGGATGCCATTGTGCCTTAGGGAAGTACAGAGGGTGCAAGTGGGAGAAAGGAGCCACAGCTCACATTTTTGCCCCAGGGGTATGAACCAAACATTTGTGGCCAACATTTGTGGCCACAGATCTAGCTGTGCCCTGAAGGGAGGCCCTGCAGGCTACCTGCACCTAACCCTCCTCTTCTGGCAGTCCCAACCCCTTTATTTCCTATCACAGCACAACTCTTCCCCAGTCAAAATGGATGGGTTCAAATTCTGCTGCTGCCACTAATTAGAAACTTGTGTGGCTATTTTGTGCAAGGCTTTGTGTACGAATGCCCTGATGTATAAACTGGTGGTTCCAACCATCCCCATCCCTAGTGTTGAAAAGGGAGCTGGGGTCTCTCCCTAAGACATGTTGATTCAGAAGGTGTAATATAGGTGGACCATATTCTAAAAATTGTTGCCCATAAGCGACGTGCTGGCCCTCCCCTCCCCACATCACTTCCAGCTGTTGGGGTGATGCATATGCTGGTGTATGCCCTTCTGATTTGAGCACATTAACACACTCATCACTATCCTTATTTCAATGACAAACGAAATGGTCAAGCTCCTGTGCCTCAGTTTTCTTATCTGTACATAYATATTCGTTAGGATTGTGTGAGTTATGAGACTAATTCCTGGTAATCCTTGGAAAAATGCCTTGCATAGTAAAGATCCAATAAGCATGTGTTATTTTTTGTAATCCACCACCAAAGAAGCAAATACCTTCATAAAAGAAAATACATTACATTTTGTTTCTCTTTGTATTTTAATATGCAGTAATTTTCCAAGGGGGGAAAAGTGATGGAGGGGCACTCAATAGGCTTCTGGAATGCACTTCTGGGATGCGGGTCACGTTGCATTTGGGGTGTTTGCTGTTTACTTGCGATTCGTGCATTTCGCAAGCACTATTACCTATGATCTCCATGGTTCTGTGAAGCATGCAGGGCAGGCATCGTAACCTGCATTTTTCAACAAAAACTGAGGGTCAGGACAGCTATTTTCGATTTGATCAAAGTAGTATGGGATGGGCGGGGCGTTTCTCAGTTCCGATTCTTCATTCAGGAGGGTAATAGCCTCTACTAGAGAAAACGGTGTGCCTAGTACCTGGCTCCAGGTAAGGTTCAGCAATGGTTCTGAGCCTTTCCAGAGAATCTCGCCCTCCCCGCCAGAGCACACCGAGACCCGGGGACGGGACCCGGGTCGTACCTCCACACATTCACTACGCCATCCCCCAGCGTGGCACCCGAGAGAGACCCGCGCGCCGGCGCCCCTGMAGCCCCGCGGGGGAATGGCGCCCAGCCCCGGGCCAATGAGAGTAGCGGAATTTCTTTCATTCAGCGCTGGGCCCCCGCTCCTGCCCGGAAAGGGGCGGGGCGCCGCGCCGGGGGTGGGGCCGCCGCGCGCCGGGGAGAGGGCGGTGCCGGACCCGCGGTCCGGCCAATCGGCGCCACGCCCGGGAGGGGGAGGGGGAACCAGGCCTTTTTTCCCCTCCGCGCGGGACCAATCCCGACTTTACAAGCTTGAACTTTTGCCACCCTCGGACGAGCTAGCGCGCCCGAGGAGGTACCCCGCCGCGCCGGCTCCAGGGCTGGAGCGGCCTTAACCCTTCCCGCGCCAGGCGTCCGCAGTCTGCCTCCGCGCCCTCAGTCCCATCCCTAACTCACCTGCATTCTTATGGTGAAACATTGCTGGGGAAAGCACGACCCCCTACCCACGCCCCTTTCCGAGGAGCAGAGAATAAATGCGGGAAAAGCCAGTAGGGAGCACCCAGTCTCGAGGGGTCCGGGGACGGCAGGCGGCCCGCCTCTCTCGGAAGGAGGGCGGTGGCGACTTAGAGGAGCCCTGGAGGATAACACTCCTTGTCTCTACCCCACCCTCTCCAAGTCCCTACCTCGCTCGTGCCTGCCTGGAGCCCCCTTGCGCTTAGCGTCCCACGCCCCGGGTTTGGCCCAGCAGAGCAATACCCGACTCTACTCCGGGAGTATGGAACCTTGGCATCTTCACGGAAAACCCCGATACCCCAACATAACCGCCTTCAACTCCCCAGAGATGCAGGGCAGGAAGGCACACATGCACACCCATTTTTATTATCGTGCATTCGGATGGGGGTTTGAACTGACTCTAAAGTGCAATGTGGGTTTGTAAGCTTGTGCATAAACCAGAGAGAGGCAAAATGCCCCGTTTGCGCTAGAGTCTTGGTGGGTTCGCCGAGACCTCACGCACCCACGAATGGTTTGTGTACCCCTCTGTGTGTCCGTGTACTCTCCGGTATCCGTGCCCCAGGCGCACCGAAAGCTGGAGAGCGAGCCGCGGGCGCTGTCAGGCCAGGGGCGGAGGTGCTGGGGCGGGAGTGGGGCGGGGGCCGGAGCTCGGCCCGCCCCGGGAGCCAGCCCCTCGGAGTCTCGGGCCCTGCAATGGGACGTGTTCTCCTTTAAGAGTTAAGAAACTTGAAACCTTGTTTGCGCAACAATCAGCGCCGCGGAGCCGCCAAAGTGTCTAGACTGGCATATGATGGGAGGCAGCCAATGACTCCGCGGCGCTCCTCCGGGGGCCCTCAGTGTGCGTTTGAGGAGAACAAAAAAGAGAGAGAGAGCCGAGCGGGGGAGCGAGCGAGGGAGCCGAGCCGAGAGAAAGAGCTGCCGGGCGCTGCCTCGCCAAACCTCGCAGGGACCGCGGGGCCACCGGGAGGCACTT